TCCATTACAAGAAACTACTTCCGTTTAATGCAGCCATTCTTCTATTTTCAGAATCCATTAACTACTCATAACATCCCGTTTTGCACTGAAGTATGTATCTGTTTTCATACAGAAGGACAATAATGCTATTTGAATGAAATGCACTGATGACTTTTTTTTTTTATTATTTATTTATTTAAAGAAAAAGAAATCCTCTTGCACCACAAAGTATCGCACAAGATTTACAAATCGTAAGTAAAAAAATAAAAAGCAAAATCATAAGAAATAACATCAATTTTCAATAATACAGTGAAATCAAACACAAAGAAAACTCCAAAGCAATTCCAAGAGATTTGGTTTTAGACCTTCAGGCTGCCACAGGAACTGAAATTAGCTGTTCTGCAGTTGCACGAAGGATCGATCAGAGATCAGATTGTATGCGAGAAACCCAGTAGTTTGTGCCCCACTCACTCCAGCTTCCTGAGGGGCCCGTTTAAACTGTTGCCATCATCATATTGAATGGAGCCAAGATGATTGAGCCAGGGGTATTTTTCACTGTCGAGTCCAGATATAGTCTGAAGTGTGATTCTGAACATGTTTTGCTCTGGAGATAGGAAGGGACAAGTAACTTGCCTTTCCTTGTTCGTGAAATATCCTGTTTTTGTGATTGTGGTATAATGGGTTGGATAGGAATCATGTCAAATGGCTGTGCCAAGCTGCATATTTTTCAAGGAGGTTCTCTAACCCCTCGGAAATATGTAGGCGAGGTATTGGAACCCAAAGTTAGACCAAAGTTAGAAACCAAAGTTACTTTAGGGGTGTTGTTGGCCCAAAGTTTTTGCTAATGAATGACATCATCATTGAGCATATGTGGTGTCAGAATACTTGCAAATGGAAGATATCATTTGAATGGATTGGCCATCTTACTGATCCGACCTTGAACCCAATTAAGCATGTGTGGAATGCCTTGTGGCAGCAAATTTCAGTGCACCAAATTCTCTCTGAACCTTCCAGAAACTGAAAAGTGCACTTTTATTAGAGCAGCGTGCAGTTACACAAGATTTGATCAACACTTTGGAATCAAAATATGACATGCGTGAAATCAAAATATGACATATGCATATCTGTCCAAGGTGTTCAGACACCATACTAAAGAAAAAATTCTTCCGCAACAGGTGACTTAATTTTTCTATTTCTGTAAATTTGGTTTTAATTTTAATATTTTCAGAATAATCAATGCTAAACATTGTAATTTAAGTTAACTAATGCTTTTGTGCAAATTTCTATTAATAATTTTCATTAAGTATGTCTTTATCCTTTTATTTTGATGGCCAGTGTAAATTCTGTGAATTAGGAATGAATTAAAATAGTTTTTTTTTTTAAGGATAATCATTTCTGAGCCAACAAATTGTTCAAGGAGAAATGGTTGTTTTCCTGGTGTAAAGATTGAGAATTGCTATTTCACATGAAATCACTGAAACTGATTTTTTGGAGCCAATGTATGATGATTATAGGACTTTTTTTTTTAATTCTTTATTTATAAGTGCAGAATCATTAGGTTTATTTCCGAGGAGGAAATGTGAAAAATGTGCAAACAGATTCTCACTGTGATTGGAACTCTGAACTTCCTATAGGACATGCTTCCAATTGTAATATTAAGGAAGAAGGTAACTTATGTTCTCTTCCACATAAAGAGAGACAAGGACCTAATCACTAAATCCTGCTGGTAAAGAGTTATTGTCAGCCACACATTTTGTTCAGATTTTGCAAGCAGATGTGAAAATTGTGCAATGCCTTTGCTGGAATTCAAATTCCTGACCTTCTTGATTGCTAGTTGGACCTCTTTCCAATTACACCACGAAGGCACATTGTAAGGAGGGAGAAATTTACTTATAGATCTAATGAGAATAATGCATTTAGAATTAATAGAAAACTTAAATAATTTATATTCATTGTCAATGCATAACTATATTTTTTAAATAAGGAAACAGCTGAAGAATTAAAATAAATGTAAAAAGTAAGATTAAAAATGATGTTTGTAAGATATCTTGTAGGACTCATTTGAGCAAAAAAGAAGGAATCATCCAGCGTGTAAAATTTGTGTAAAGAAAATTTTAGGAGTGCAGCCTTTAAGCTATGTAGAACTTTTAGCTATTATTGGTCAGATCAATGCTGTTATAATTTCAGATCCAATAATATATCTATGAGAATTTAGATAAGCTATGACCTCTTATTGTAGCTCATTTTATTGATGGGAATTACATTACTTCTAGCTCTAGCTTATGTTTGTAGCAAGATAGTCATTTAAAAATGATATTGGCATAAATTCCACTTGACATTCTTCTGTCATACTGTTTCATAAGATAACACTCAAAAAAATTTTTTAAAAGAAATGTATGTAACATATGTTAAACTGAAAACATTTCAAGCTCACAATTATTGTCAGTTTGTACATTAATGATTTTAATACTTTGAAATATGTTTTTATTGATTTATCTCAAATGACAAATGTGTGCTTCAAACTTTGTTCATAAAACTGCTTCAGACTTTGTATGTTTAAAACATATTGAATTTCATAATTCCAGAATGCTCTGTTATTTTATATCAGTTTATTCTAGGTTAATGGTTAAATGAGGAAATATGGTACTTCCTTGTTAAAGTGGCCACCTCAGTCAGTCACCAAAATCAGATTAGTCTCCAGAATGCTGAATTTTTAATGTTCAACATGCTTAATTTTCAGAGTGATTATTTGTGAATTTGATAATGTGATATCAATGTAGTGTTTTTTCTCCTCTAAGATATTAAAATTTTTAATTTAAAATCAGTCAGAAAAGCAGCAGTATTTTTTCTGTTTGTTATTTATAACATGCAGCATATTTGATTTTTGTTTGTTTTTTTTTTTAACATGCAACATATTTGATTTTCATGCTTAGTATAGGCTGTGTCATGCTTAGTTTAGGTTTAGTCTTTCCTTCGTTACTCCCTCACCCATTGATACAATGTTGGCCATTTATAACTTTACATCAAGTGCAATAGTTTCTTTTTGTGTATTCATCACTACTCCTTCCCTCCAAAATGTTAACTATATGTAACTTACCATCAACTCAAAAGGTAGCAGTGTTTTTTTTATTCAAGATAATGGAATTTTGTGTACTGAACAAAAATGCAAAAATGGCCACCAGTTTTTTTAGGAGGTGTAAGGTATTTAGAAATGCAACTGAAGAACTATTGATGGGAAAAGTCTTCATGCTCATAATTTGTTTCAGCATTCTAGGATACTTTTTTTTTACTCCTTTGCACTTAATGTAATTTTGGCTCAAAAACTAATTTTCATCACATGCTGCAACAGGCATGTGGGTAAAATGCAAAAATTACCAGTATTAAATTCTATAATAGCAGCAGTTGTAAAATTATATTCTTTGAAAAGATAGATAACTGTTATTTTGCCCTGTACTGTTTAACCACGCTAGTGAGAGCAGTTTGGCTAAAGCCAAGGTGGTTCAGTTTAATTGATGGGGTGTGGGTGAAAAGTGCAGGTATTTTCCCCTGTCGAAGGTCGAAGGTGTGTGGGTGAAAAGCGGAGGTACTTTTTTCCTCTCAGAGGTCAGGGTTTATTTAGTGCCTTTTCTTACAATCATTGAGCATTGCTGTTACTGACCTTCCTTTATTATTATATCTTCACTATTAGTATGTGTTCCAGGAAGCTCTAGAAATAAACCTTTCTGCAGCAATTTTAAGCTATTAGTGTATAATGTAATTAAAGTTTGTGATGAAGAATCACAATTAGGAAGACTGACCATCCCAGTTACACAGCCAGCACATAGAGTGAGTAAGATGATATGTATTTCTATTGCCAGCATAAAGATAATTCGTAAAGAATCTGAAAATAAAGAAAATGTTCAATTCGCTTTCCCTAAAAAAAGAAGAATGAGAGAAACTGTTGTAGGTACAGGCTTAGATAATTTTGATTTGGTTATTTTAAGATGAGCAGTTCAAGACTTTTATGTCAAGAAAAAGAAAGTACGAACTATAACCAAGCTGCTTCCTGCATTAAAAGACTCAATCAATTTTCCTTGGCAAAGAGAAATGCTAAGAAAGATTCTGAGAGAAATTGGTTTCATCTGAAAAAAGTCCCAGATTAAAAGAAGCATTTTAGATTTAGAAGAAGAATGCTTTGATATTGAGAGTACAAACAAGTTTGAAAAAATGGTGCCACCAGTAAGTTATATGTACCATCATACCGTAAGTTGGAAATCTGCTAAGAACATAACCTTGAAAGTTTAGCGATTTTAATCAGCATCATATGTTTTTCATGTGAAAATATCGAGTTTTGATCCAAATAAGTGTCATTTGTGGAAACTTTTGATTTACCTGTGTAATTTGAAGAAATCTGCAGCTGAGGCATATTGATTGCTTATAGAGCATGTGGTGAAGGTGCCTTAACACATTGAACCAGGCGGCGAATTTGTTGTCTTTTCCGTTCAGCCGGCACGAGCAATAAAGTGGTGCAATGTTGCAGGGTAATTCATCAGATATTGCTCCTTCTGATTAGTACTTGTTTTGATTGATGATGGATTGCCTGCCTGAGCAGCTCTTCACACCATATGAAGACACCAAAAATTAGGTTGATTTGTGGATAGCTTCTGAAGATGAAGCATTCATCAGATGCTATATCCGTATGCTATCAGAAAGATGGGAAAAAGTAGTGGCTAGTGATGAACAGTACTTTGAATAAAACATAATGTATCGCTTTTCACAATAAATTCCAAATTTTTTATATAAAAAGGCAGAGACCTATTTGTATCCCCAGTATTTAAAAAATTTTTTTGACATTAATGTAAAATTTTGGCGAGCACTTGTGATGGCCGTTTGTGGAAGCAAGGAAGTACATGGAAAATATTTAAATAAGATTAGAAATAAGAAGCCATATGACTATAATTTGTGAGATTATTTTAATACTTACTTTAATAATTAAGTTTTGTATTTTTAAGATACTAACATTTTTACATAATTTTTTACAGGTTAGCTATTCATAGCCTTGTTACATCCAGTATTAGAAACATCCATCTAGAGACACATCCATTATGCTTTAAATGTACTCCACTTCTTAGGTAAGTTATTATTACTAATTGTTGTGGAAATACTATATTAATTTTTTTTTTAAGTTTTAAAATAGACTAACCAATCTTTTTACTGTGTTGAATTGATTTTATTTTTTAATAGAAAACTGGAGAACCAAGAGTGTATAACAATGAATATTTGTCATTATTTACAAATAATTTTGTTTTTATTTAGTGCTGAACCTTTGAAAAAGAAGAAAAGAATTGATCCTCAGGTGCTGCGAGAAAGAGCTGAGAAAAAAATTAAAAGATTACAGAGAGATATAAGAAAGTTGGAGAGAGGCAGTAAACAGTTGAAACCAATTGCTGAACTTGAAGTTCCTAGGAAAATTTTAAGAGATCCGTATGTAAATTTTATTTCTGCAGTTCATATAATCATAAAATTTAGTTATTGATCATGTGTAACTGCCGAAAAAATATTCATATTTATTTCAAAATGCTGTATGTTTTTAAATGTTTAGTACTTTCTGATTTTCAGCGCCCCACGAAAAGTCACCAACTTTTTGGTGAAAAACATTTGTTGGGCTATCTTTATGGCTCTTAGATTCCATTCATAAATTCCTATCCCTCTTTCCTATTCATAAATAGTAATAAAGATAAAGTATTTTATATGTAAAACCAAAAAAAGTATATTTGCATTTTTACAGCTAATGGGTACTGTTCAGAAATGACAGTTCAATATAAAGGAAAAATTAGATGTATTCAAACACATATGTGGTATGCTTGTGCATAGATTGGCTGTTATTGTATATATACTTGAAAATATGCCACATTTTCAAGCAAATGTTAAGATTGGGGGAGGGGTGTTGAAAATCAGAAAGTACCAATAGCCACTCTGTAGTTATTATTTTGTGCTTAAATTAATGTCAATTTTATTCATGAGCTCTGAGTATGCATTTTTCAACCACTAAGGAAGTAAATATGCAACTCAAATGCAGTTGCTTAGCCACATATAATTTCCAGATTTTTGTAGTAGCTGTATGTTAAAAATTTCATTGAAATATTTTCTGAAAATATGATTTTTGGATACAATTAGATAACATAAATTACTGTTAGAGATACATATTACGAAAATGCAGTGAACCCTCTCTAAGATGACTTTAACTGTCCATGTATGGCCCCCTCCCCACAATTTCCACAGGATACGAAAACCGACTTGTAATATGGGTTGCGTGAAAATAACATGCATAAGTTTATTTCTCTTATTTTCAGCACAGATTTTGCTTTTTCTCTATGTAGGCTGAGAATATTGTAGTATTCATGTTTCACATTTCGTTTTGCACCTAGATGGCGCTATAGGTTTATATCATTGTAAGGGAGTAAGTACTATTGTTTCTTCACAGCCGAACATAATTGACACTGTTGCTTCTTTCATTGTAGAATGATAAGAAAATAGTAAATATGCTTAGTTCTTTTCATGATGCATCATATGTATCAGTTTATTCAGGGATGGCAAAAGAAAAACTAAAGCCAAAAGTGATTTATGATTATAACTTTACGATGGGTGGTGTCGACAGATGCAATCGGGAGATGTCATACTACCCTAGTATCCAATAACAATTTCCTAAATATTACAAGAGAATATTTTTCTATATATTGGATCAAGCAATATGGAATTCACATATAATATACAGAAAAATAACGAACACGAAAAAAATCCTTTCTTGGTTTCAAGCTAGCTGTGATCAAGGAAAGTGTTCTGCTATATGCCCATCAGTACATTCTAGTGATGATAGTATGAACTTTATTCCCTTTGTAGCAAGACATTTTGCAAGTGACATACCACCAAATTCTAAAAAAAGGAACCTAGAAGACAATGTGCTGTGTGTTGCTCCAAAAAAGACAACAATGTGAAAAAATACATAAAGTGATTCGCATTTGGTGTGAAGAGTATAAAATTGGATTAGAGCTATGTTGCAAAGTTTACCACACTAAAAAAAAAAAAAAAAAAAATAATTAAGTAATAATAAGTGATATGCAAGTAATATATTCATTTAGTTACAGAAATTAGTTAGCAAATATATTTATCAAAATCAAAAAGATCCAGTGTATTTTTACATTTTTATTCCATTCACGCTAAGATCACGGGAGCCATATTGTAATTCTTCTAGAAATTAAAAAACTATTAAAATTCCTGTATTATTTTTATCTAATTTTGTTTATAAAGAAGTGAATAGTAATATATGAAGATAGAGGGGGGGGAACCCCTTGACTAGAATGTATCATAATTGAGCCGTACGCGAAGGGTTAATATTTCACACAATTTTCATCTTTTGCTATCACAATGAAGATGACTCCAAGTGATTATTGACTTCTGTATTGATTTTAACTTATTAAAACTACATAGGGTCTGTTAAATCAGCGTTTTCCAAACTGGAAGGCGTGGGCTAGTCTAAGGGGAGGTGCGAATATTAGCCAGGATTGGTGCACGTGCAGCTAATACAATACGTAACATATAGGTACATAATAACTAATATGCTGCTTCCCCGATCAGTAACTCTCTAAAAATCGAGACAATATCGACTTCAGTTTAGCTCAGCAGTGTTAGATTGTGTTTCTTATTTTATTTTGATGTACCTAATTCCTCACTGATCACAATAGTAAGTAATTTAATTGAGTTTAATTTTTTAAGAACAATAAATTAATTATCCTAATATATGTAGAGAAATGGATAAGTTCATGACTGATTACAAGAAAAAATCCTCTAATAATGAAGAATCTAATGTTGGCACAAGTAGTAGGAATCAGGAAGGAAGAACTCTGAAGACAAGATATTAAGATTCGTCTTATTTATCATTCGGATTTACAAGTGTTATTACTGATAATGTGGAAAAACCAATGTGTTTGTTTTGTTCGAAAGTTTTGGCTGCTGATAGTATGAGACCCGGAAAAGTAAATGCACATTGAAACTATGCATTCTCAATATGTTATGTTGATAAGTCCCAAGAATTTTTTCAAAGAAAATTGGATGAGTTCACTAAACAAAAGCAAGCATAAAAAAAAAAAAAAAAAAAAAAACAAAAAAAGTTCATATTCCATCAAATGCGTTACTAGCATCACACTTAGTATCTTACAGAATCGTGAAGTGTAAAAAACCACACACCAATAGGAGAAACATTAGTTTTGTCAACAGCTATTGATATGGTCAAAACAATGTTTGGCGAATTATATGCAAAACAGTTGCGACAAATACCGCTTGCTGATAAACACTGTTGGCAGAAGAATCTATGATATATCTGACGATCTTTGCAATCAATTAGTTTCTCAGATGCGCACTTCAAAATTTGCCTTACAAGTAGATGAAGCAACCGATGTAGCTAAAGACACATTTAATTGCATATGTTCGATATGTTGAGGAATAATATAATTGAAGATATATTTTGCAAACCCATTCCTGGCAAGCACTCCGTGAATTTTAATGTTTTTCCGACAATGTTTTTGATGAGAATGACATATTGTGGAATAATTGGCATTGGGCTTTGTACGATGGTGCACAGTAATGTCAGGACACAAACTGGCCGTCAAGCACTAATTAAAAGGAAAACACCTGATGTTCTCTGGACCACTATCTCCACAGAGCAGCTCGTAAAAAAATTAAGGAACTTTTATTTTTACACGACAGTAATTTTAAGTAACGAAAGCTAAACACATAAAAAACAGTCATTAAAGTTAGATTATTTGCAAAGCTGGGGAAGATATGGAAGCTGCTACACTCATTTTGTTATGTGAAGTGCGCTGGCTATCTCTTCACCATTAAAAAAAAGTGTTTCAGCGGGTACGTGCCTCAAAAAAATTGCAATTTTTCTCGCCAAAATCATAATAGATGCAAATATGTTATGAGATAATTTTATTTAACTTACCTATTTGGTGAAATTTTTGGAAAATTGAGTGTTTTGAATAAATCGATGCAAGGGCGACAAATGCATTTATTGATTCAAAAAGATGAAGTAAAAGCATTCATTAAAAAAATGGAGATATGGAAGACAAATTTTGAATAAAATAGGTTCGACATGTTTCCACTTAAATTTATGCACCCAAGTTAATATAGAAGCAAACAAAAATCTATTTGTTGAACACTTGGATGGTTTTTAATTCATTTCTCGATTTATTTTGATGATCTTGATTTTACAAAATATGCATGGATACTGAAACCATTTACCTATGAAGAAGATGACGAATTTGAATTAACAAGTATTGAGAAAACTGGATTGAACTATCTTGAGATACTTCTTTCAAATAAAGTTCAGAATTTACTCTGATCATTTGGGCTAGATATTATAGTTATAAATATTTTGCAATAAGCTTTAAGAGTATTGCTTTCATTTGCAACACCATTTTTTTTATGCGAAAGAAATGCGACAATAATAAAGTGTTTTCGTTCTTTCTGTGTATAAAGTGTATCGTAAAAAGTTTTAGTACGAAAAATTTGTGTTTGCGTATTTAGAAAATGGAAAAAGGCCATATATCAATTTTTTAAGAGCGCTGTGATAAAAAGTTGGAAACCATGTGTTAATCTCATGCATTTATTAATATGTATACGAAAATACCAATTGATCGTATAATGTAGGTCATAGAAAATCTCAGAATGACTACATACTTAATTTTCTTAATACTACTGTTATGAATGACTTTAAATATAAAACTACGTATGCTTACATTGCAAAAAAAAAAAAAAAAAAAAAAAAAATATATAATGGCGTCATAAAAAAACTTCTAGATATGACCCTAGCGCCTATTTTGCTCAATCAGCAAATTAATTTAATATGTTATTTGAAGTATGCATTCAAACTGTATTATGTAAAAATACATTCGCAACCTCCGGATTTCTGACTTCTTTCCCACCAACCTGATTTACAATATATTTCTCCCGACTTTCTCTTATTCTTAAAATTTCTCATGATTTTTATGTAGATGTGTACATTATTGACACCAAAAAGAAAGTGATTTTTGGCATCTGAAAGCTCTTGTTTATGCTCTAGTTTACATATAAAAGAAAACCAAAGTTGTTTTATCAATGTGAAATTATGGCACGCTTCTTCTTTGTGGGTGAGAGCACATGTGTCTGAGAACGTCATATTCCAGTTCTCCAGTTGGATCAAGCGCCATTGCGTGTCATCTGGCAATGAGCACAAGGCAAGATCTAGGTTGTTATTTCATCCATCTTGTCACTGAGAGATGCGAGTGCATGTGCTTTCAAGTAGTTTAAGAAATTATAATCTTTTGTTTTAGTTATGTCTTAAAAAAAAAGTAAAATACTCATGTGCTTTTCAAAAATCTTGCACAGATGACTTTCTTTCTATTATTTCCTTAAGGAAATGTAATGCATATGCAACATGTACCAATCTTATTACGATTTTTCATTTTCGTGCGGTGGAAGGGCCACTGTACTCAAATA